ATGCGAGATACAAAACAAAATCCACGAAAAAAAGATGACTCAAGAAAATTGAAAGACGTATTGCAGTTAGGGGTAGAAAATGTTTAAACTTCAGAGATAAACAACCCAGAACGGAACATCAAAAGAAGTCTTCGAAAAAGAAAGAATGAAATTGAAAGGAGAAAAAAATGTATTGAAAGGAGAGTGTTGTTGCGACATTGGTGAATTTACTCGGAAGACGCGTGTTTCAGTCTATATGTCAAAATTGTTGAAAGACAAAAATCTTGTCATATCAGCGACGCAAGAAGAAATGTTGTAACGGTGGAAACAAAACAAAAAATCTAAATTATTGTTATCGTCCTAAAGTACCTCTGTTTCCCGAGGTCCCGCGCCGTCTCGGTCACGTCTCACGTGGAATGCCCTTGCGGCCTCGATCGATTTTTTGATTTGTTATGGCATTGTTTTGGTAAGAAAATTAGGTCGAGGAATAGAGATTCGAAATCGAAAAATGGAATCGAAAATTTAGGAATCAGAATAAAATCGAATATTTATTAATAATCATACTTAGCATCACATAGTCAAATGCAATGACAGTCAACACATTTGTATGAAAAGCTTATTTGTATTATGCTCGACGAGTAGTGTAATAACCTTTTCTAGATCGTAATCCAGAAAGATGCAAATATAGGCATTCGACTGTTGCCATATGATACATACCGTGTTTCCCCTAAAAAATAAGATAGTATCTTATTTCAAATTTCGTTTGAAAAATAGCACAAGGTCTTATTTAGTGGGGATGTCTTTTATTTTCATTTATCAAAAACAAAATGGAGAATAACGAGATTTTCAAATATATACAAAATATGAAAACCGATATCCATTTACTTATCAATAACCTTTTCCTCTTTCACACGTTTTAGATTAATCATTCAAAACGTGTAGGTGAGTTTTTTTGCTGTCAACTAGGTAAAAAAAAACGGTATCGGCGGTATTGTAAATTGAACATTATTGGATTATGATATTAAATTCAAAACCGATCGTACTTATGCAATCACATGAATATTTATATGAATAACACCATGTTATATGGCTGATAATTTTGTAGTTTCGCGTAGTTGATTTAGGTGTTCGGTTGATCAGCATGAGTGGTGACAATGAATCCGCGGGTTTTAGATTGTCACTAAATGATACGAATGCGGCGATTCACTTTATAACTCCTTGGTCGAGAGCGTGGTATACTAGCAACATATTTCTTGTGTTTTACTTTGGAATCTCCGTTTATCTCCTAACAGTGATGGTGTTGTATGATCGAAGGAGAAGGAAGCACTTGACAAAAAAATGGATGAGGTCGACGAGTTTGATGTACGGAGTGCTAATGAGAATCGCACTTCTTGCAGCAATTGTATGTGAAATATTGGGATGCATTGCTAACTTGATATCCATAATGCTGGATTACTTTCTTATTGACTATTGCTATATTTCCAAGCCGTTCAGAGCATCGACTGTTTGTGCAATCGTCGTCTTTACATACAGTTGCTTGTGGTTCAGACAGAGAGCGTTGTATGCAAGCTGTTATTTTCGACACGTCACATCAAAAGTAACAAGAACTATGAGTGTCCTTGTGGGATTTCTTCTAGTTATATTCCCCATAGTGAACGTGATTCTCTTCATTCTTACTCAAAAATACAACATTTGCATTCCAACCCCCGTACTGCCTCGTGATGTTGTATTCATCACTTTGTTGTCGATTACCATTTTCATGCAAATGCTTTTACTGGCTTTATTTGCTCTGCCAATAATAAAACACAAGAAATCAACGAGTGTTATCACGCGTCAGAATGCACAAATGACGAATGCCATCCGCCGTCCGCTTATTTCTGCTTCCATTTGCGTAGCAACAGATGTACTTGCCGCACTGATTTTGATTTTTGTTACAACCGAGAACCAGCACCACCAGAGCTTAACTCTGCATGGAAGCATGATTGCAAATATAATTGCAACTATGGGGTGTTTTTCTGATTCTAGAGAAATATTTATAAGGTGCAGAAGCCCAGGTGATATTGAAGAATGCGACGAGAAGAATTCCCAAAAGTTACAAATGACGAAAATGAGTTCTTCCAACTTCACAAACATAAAACAGAACTCGGTCGAGAGAGTGAACAAGCTACCAGGAGTAATTGAAGAAAACCAGTTGTAATATTGAAGCTTTACTTCTATCGATAACTGAGAATTTCGTCTTTAGCGACTGAGTGAATGTTTCCAGGGTGGTACAAACCCAGGCCCGCGGGCCACATGTGGCCTGCCGCTTCATTATCTGTGACCCGCATCACATTCGGAGAGTAATCAAAAAATCGTATTTCGTGTCGTGTTGTCATAAAATTAATCAGAAAAATCTTTTGACATATTGTCATCACTAATGTCACTGAATTAAATAGTGTTATGGCTAGTTGGAGAAACTAGCGAAGTTTAGTGATGTGCTTGGCAGTCTAAATTATTATCTGGCTTTCTAACTTTTTGGTCGGGAATATATGCTAACAATATAGGCATCATAGAAAACTAAATATCGAATGCGGATTCTATTAGCCTAGAATGGCTATGCCTGATAACTATGTGTTTGCACAATAAAACTATTTGTTTCGTATTGCACTGTTTACCTATTTTTGGCACTATTGTGGCCCGCGAACAATGCAAAATAATTTTGTGACCCGCGGAGCCGACAACCTTGGACCACCCTGTTTAGTCTATTCCCAATTTTTTTTTGTAATTATGAAAAATGCACGGCCCTGACATTGCAATCAAAACGGTGGACTCACCTATAACGTAGACATATTTGAACTATTATAGCTTAATGTAATTAATTTGATTTTTTGACGAAGTATCAATACAATAGTACAATATGTCCGAAATGGAACAACAGGATGAATTTGAATTATATATTATTGCCGTAGCTTATGGAAAGGAGATTTGCGACAGTTGTACATTTTTCTTGCATGTAAATAAAATCCTATACGAGTGTAACTTAATGTCGTTGTGTCATCAAGGAATTTGTGTCACATTACAGCATGTGCAGTATGCAAGCAGACTTTGAGTTTGTTCAAAATATGATGAAAGAGATCTCACTTTTTCGAGAACCTGTATGGCCCGCAAACCTATTTCATATAGCTTGATATAGTGACATATGTATAGTATCCAATTGGCTTTGGATGTAATCTAATATTGCGAGCTCCGAATATTCGTCTAGGTATCTGATTACATAGCTGGCACGCAGTGATTAGACATATTAATAGATCGTTATTCAGCCTCATTGTATACAACAATCCTCATTGCATCAACCTCATTAATACTGTATACTTCTCTTTCGTCTGGGATCAATATTTAAAAATAAAACGATGCTTCCGCAACGCAATTTCCCATAAATCCATCAGAAACCTGTCGGGTCAGGTGTGATCATAATCGGCCATCCCATGAGGTAAATACTTGACCCTCCATTGATTATTCGAAATGAGATGAACTCACATTGCAAATTGGTTATGTCATTTTCCGACACAGCAACAATTATTTTAGATTGGTACAATATTGTTGAAATACATTAGTAAAATTAATTGACATTGACATTTTTCTTGTTATATTAATGTCCTCATCGTTGTTAGTTAGGTGCCTCCTCCTCTATCGCTTGTAAAGAAATCATAATAGACCATGGACCGCGAGCTATCTGGTTTAGAGATGTGCGACGTGCTTGCGCTTTGGATTGTCTAAAACAGGGGTCACCAACGCGTTGCCCGCGGGCACCAAGTCGCCCGCGAAGTCCATATGAGTCGCCCGCAGGTCTGTTCCAAACTAAGTTAAAAAACGGCTCTTATAAGTAAGCTACATCAATTAAATTTTGTCCTGCTATTTTAGTATAAATCACACTTATATGGGAACTAGAAATGACACTATAATAATTATTGTAACCATCAACCTTATTTTTATTTGACCTCAGTAATGTGACGGGTCAATTAACACTCTTCCAATTATGACATCACACTGAGATCACTTTCCACGAACCCGCGTTTTTTCTTGTCCGTTGGTTAGCGGCGCAGTATACAATTATTGATTCCAAAGAAAAATCCATCATTTCCACGATGAATGGGAGGTGGATCTATTTTTACCACCATGAAAACAGCCTGCGTGTGTCTCAATAGTGGGGCGATTTTAGCGACGGCAAAGCGGAGAAATATTTCACATCTTGTCACGTAATTTTCCGCGCTACCCACTAGTCAGCACAGTACGGACAGAAAAAGCTCGCGAGTCAAATCATACAGCAATCCTATTTTACGAGACCATCGTTTGTTTCAACCTATCCTTTCGAATCAACATTTTTGACATAAACTCAGGATAGGAGGAGATTTACATATTTATCCCGGGGGAGAAGATAGCCGATAGGACGGCTTAACCATATGACAAACCACGGCTTCTCGCCGGTCACCATTCGATGTCGGGTATGGGATTAGTAAGTTATTTGTTTCCGGAAGCATGAACTTGATGGCGAAGGAAGCCTCAACCGACCAGCGGTTACGTGAACCACCCTACGGCGGCGAGGAGTCCAGCAATTCTTTCGTACATAACTATCCCCGCATGGGATTCTAACCTGCGAACCTAACGCCTAACACGATGGGCCGTAGCGCCGCGACTCACACCACCAAGAACAAACATGGAACACGCCTCACTGATGAAAATCTGCAAGACTCGCTCAGAGTTACAGTGTCAAAGTAAACGTCGGAGTATAATACTCTGCAACATTTGATAGTACAACTGTTAAGTCCACTTTATCTTAGACTTGTGCAGATTGTTGAAAATCAATTTAAAAACACTCAGTTTTGAAATACAAGTGTTATTGATAGAAATTTATTTGCAACGTTGTGATATGCGTTTGATTTCCTGAAGAATCCTAAAGTTTATTAGTGTCTATACTTCACTAAATACCAGTAAATATATCAATAATTGAAGCTTAATCGAGCAACTGAGTTTTTTTAGAAGTGTACATTGAACTGGTAGCCCGCAGCTTAATCTGTACCCAAGAAGTAGCTCTCGGCTTCGAAAAGGTTGGTGACCCCTGGTCTAAAATTTGCCTGGATTTCCTCCACTGTTTTTTTAAAAGTTTCTGGAAGGAAGACAAATCCATATATAAATTCCACCAACGCCGCAACTATAAACGGTATATAAGCATACGCTCCCCATGCCGATAAGGTATAAGGCAATACTGTACCAACCATACAGGCAGTGACCCAATAGATAATACCACCAACGAGCATTGCTGGTGGACGTGTCGCTTGTGTAGTTAGCTCGGATGGAAGAGCGAAAGTAGTAATTTGAATTCCAAGGTAATTCCCAAATAAAAACAGCATTGCGGAACCTAATGCAACGTACGGCATCGGTGAGAATCTATTTTTGAGTATGCTCGCCAATGTAAAAATAGTGAGTCCAACTGCTGAAATGCCAGTTCCTATTAAAAACAATTTTCTGGTACCGATCTGTCGAACGATGAGTATCGCCATTATTCCAGGAATTACACACTGGGCAAATATTCCAATTGAAGCATAAGTAATGTATTCTTCGGGAACTCCAGCTTCGCGAAATAGGTTGTTTGAATAAAAAAATATTGCCTGTAATGAAAATACGAAGATATATCTATCTATGTAAAACACTATTTGGGGATTCAAACTTTTGAAGCCACACAATGGGATTTTTGAAAATATTGTGTGGCTAGCATATTATGATTTTTACAAATCGAATTTTCAACATTTTTGCACGATTGGACAATGATTCCTTCAGCAATGATATCTATGTCACTATCGTCACAGGGTGTGATGCGGTGTTTTTGCATGTGTGATTAAAATAAGGGTTAGTTTTACGTTCATGGAAGAAATATAATATGAGCGCCGAAGCTAGTTAATTAATCATAAACGTCAATTATCGTCATTGTTTAACTGTGTTACATACCTGTGTCCCAACTAACTGCGTGCAATTGAGAGTTAAAATTGCTGAAAGAATTTGTTTTCGTTGGGTGGGACTTCTTAATATGTCTCTCAACCGGGCGCCCCGTGTTCTTGTGTCGTGAGAAATTTCTGCTTTAAGCATTGTTATTTCGCGTTCAAGTATACCTATACTTCCGTAACGTAATTTTCGTAAAATTTCAAGAGATTTTACTTCATTTCGTTGCATCATGAAATATACGGGTGTCTGGGGCATCCATGGATATAGAAGAAAATACGTAATAGAAAAGGGAGCTGTAGCAGCGGTTAGCAGAGGCCACCATTGAATGTTTCCACAAACCTGAAAGTCCAAATAAAAATGATATTATGACATTTAAAATAAGATGAATTAGCGAAGCTCAGATGCATCTGCACTCGTTCAAATATAAGAGCCCTTTGTTCCAGAGAAATTTTTCGAGATAAATTAATACACCCCTGCTTAATGGTTCATTAAAACAACAACCTGACGTCATAACTTTCAGCCCATATTCACAATAACAAATAGGTAGGCTATAACTAAATTTAAAAGTTTCATTTGAATCTGTCAAATAATACCAGAAAATTAATTATATAGTCATCAATAGTAGCCTAAGCCCCATGTACAACTAATTCATTTGGGATCTCGAGGGAAAACGAGGTTGGCTTTAAAACTAGCTAAACTTGGAAGCAGTGTCCAAGTATATAAACACAAAAGTCGCATCGCTAAGGTCTAAGAGCACCAACTTTACTGAGAAAATCGGTGAACAAGAAATGCAGTAAAACAAAAACTTTAGTAAAATAACGTATCACATAGGTCTCGAAGGAAATTTGAAAATAGGAAAATGAAACAGCATTCTATAGAAATCTCCAAGAACAGCAAGGATTTAGTCAAACGATCCCTTCCTGTCTAATCAGACGCTGTACTACACACGGTGACGTCATAATACCGTTTCACAAGACGTAAAGGGATAATTTTAAATTAACTGTCACTCTTCACGTATGCAACACAAATAGCTTACTAATTTATCTCATGTGATCAAGTCTAGAAAACCCATTCCCACATAAGTAAGTGAAGACGAAGGGGATAATGATTTTAAATGCACGTCACCACACAGAAATTTGAAGTGAAAAACGAATTCCATAGAACATACAGAATTTTTTTTAAATATGGAAAAGTAATAGCCTTCTAGCGACAACAACAATTATAAATCACTGGAAGCATTTGATCCTGTAGCAATGTAGTTGAACAGAAGAGCGATTTTTTCACAACAACAAGAAGGAAATGCAAAAGGACAGCGTTAGCCTATAACGCAAAAACTAAATGCTCTTGCGTCCCCTGATATTCCCTCCCAGACCCCAGTTTGAGAACCACTGATACAGTGTAAAAGTCAAGTGCTACTAACCCTTGAATGACCAAGTCCAACTCCAATTGCCGCTCCAACAAAAAGCAAGTACGTGTATGGACCTTGATAATTTGCTAGTCTTCTTCTACAGGTTGTTTCAGCGACCATGACAGCAACGACGCTGTAGCCAATACCTCTTGAAATGCCGTTGACTATTCTACCCGCTATTAGTGCTTCGTACGATTCAGCAAATTTTGCAACAGGAGACATAAGCACAATTGAAACTAGGTTGAGAGCATGGGACAGAGCGATGCCACCCTTTCGACTGACAATACAAGTATGAGTTCAGTTAATTATGTGTGTTTTAAAACATTTTCATTCAATTCCAGTTGGCGGGAATTGAATCTATGAGTCGTTTTGCTAATTTAAAGTTAGTAATGTTGTTGGGCACAAATTTGACTTATGAACGGATTGGAGATTGCTGTTGTTCGTGTGAAAAGAAATACATGAATTGTTGCCATGTTTTGAAACTTTTTGAGTAAATGGATCATGCACATAATATATTTTTATCACGGAGAAAAACAAAGTGGGTCATGAATTCAATGAATGTCTGCAATAATTAGAAACTTGCTGCTGCATCTTTTTCGTATAGTTTATATATAACCATGTGTATACCGTGTTTCCTCGAAACTAAGACCTACCCTGAGAATAAGACCTAGTCGATAGCAAGCAATCTTTCCAACACGTTTTAAATGATTAATCTAAAACGCGTGAGAGAGGAAAGGGTTATTTATAAGTAAATGAATAACGGTTTTCAAATTTTCTATATTTGAAAATCTTGTTATTCTCTACTTTGTAATTTTATTTTTGATAAATGAAAAAGAAAGACATCCCCCCAAAATAAGCCGTAGTGTTATTTTTCGAAAGAAAATTGAAATAAGACACTGTCTTATTTTCGGAGAAACACGGTAGGTAGGCTATCGTGTAGTTTTGAGTATTACACATGAAGCCATTATCATAAATCAGGAAGAAAACGCTTCCTGAAACTCAATTTTATAAAATTTGTGTATAAAACGAAGAACTGAAAATCGTTAACGATGCTACAACAAATATTTTCATCAATTCAGAGTTTGGGGAATTCCACTCTGACAGAATTATCTAGCTCTGAAGTTAGTGTGTTGTGGACAAAGGTTAAGCCAGGTTAATTTCAATGAAAAGAAAAATTTATAGTTTTACCTGCATTTCGCAATAACTATTCTAACGAGCAGCGATCCAATGAGTGATCCCCATGCTAAAGATGATTGAGCAACCACCGTGATGTTTTTAATCTTACTTTCTGTTGGATAGTCAGAATACCGATTCTGTAAATAAAAAACGGAAGCAATCACCAAGAGCACGAAGATGAGTGCTTGTTTATACAGTCCACCAATCAAATCGTTTATCCAAAATTGTTCTTGATTCAATGATTGGGAAGTGGCAAAAATATATTGATAATACGGTTAGGGGCCGAATGGATAACCCGGGCAAAATGAAATGAAACTCATTTAGAAGTAAATACGTCACCCATCTTGCACCTTTATACTATGTAAATGTAATTACTCAACTTGACTGCATTAAAAATTTGATTTTTTGCGTTACATATTCCTTCGTGACAATAGGCTTACCATATATCTGAAGCAAACTACCGACATTGTAGATTTGGCAAACCAACCTTGGTTCGATTCCGAGTCTTAGTAATAGTTTCACATTTTTCATTATCATTGTGGGTTGATTACGGACATCAAAATTAGCTGTAAATCTTATAAAATATACTCTATTGGTCTTTGCTTCAAATATTTGAAATCTGACTTCAACTCAGTAGACATTTGCCCTTTGTTTTCGACATTCTGATTATTTAACGACGGTAAAGTTAGGTGGCAAATAAACGCATGTGCCATACTTTATATCATACCTATGACATAGAAAATTCTCTCCTTCTATCTGAACTCGTGAAGTGAGTTCCGAATCAGTGATAAATTGGCTACATCCGTTAAAAAATTGTATTAAAGTCAAATAAAAAAATATTTATGACTACCATACAGCCGGGTTTGTCCATAGGAATCCGTAATATATTTAGGTCTACCGGCGGGACATCTTGCTAAAATCGGGACTGTCCCGGCTAAACCGGGACGTATGGTAAGCTTATTCATGACCAATTCATAGTAAATGTACACGGAACCGATCCCCAGATTTTTATTTTATGACGCCGTATTATATAATAATCATCAAATGACGTATAGTTCCAATGCCCTAAAGCTTGAGGTCAAACTTGTAAGCAGAATTTGATAAACATGGATCATATCTGATGTGCGAACTTATCAGAGATTAGGAGACAACCTAAAACATTAGACGCTTCTGCTAACGTAAAGCAGTTAGGCCCTTAGGGCTTAGGCAATGAAGAAACAAATAATGCAAATGCTTGGATTGAACAATGGAAATGTGATTCTGATCTCTGTCTCTTTTGACATTTTTTTAAATTGATGAACTTTATTGTTAATAAATTGCATTGTCAGGCGGCAAATTCTAATCCAAAAAGAAAAATTAACTATGTTTTTTAAAGAAATATAAAAGGAATTTGAAAATGATTGAATAAAATGGAAATTCTAGAAACAAACGAGCACGCTATTTTTTCATATCAGGCAGTTGCTCTACAGTTTACACCATCAATTTCATACGCACTCAACATATTTTTAGTACATGGAAGTTGTTTACAATTTCGTAATATTTTGGTAAAAATTTCCGTAACATGGCCAGGTTCTTGTTGTTCTGATCTATACGTGGAAAAAATTCCATTGACGTGTGTTACATAAAATCTCTGGGTTAAAAAGATACTTAACAAAAACACGAAATTTCGAATCTGATTAATTAATGGTTTCCGTGATATCACCGGATTCATCATAATGTAAATAAACTCAGCTCATAGGACATAGGTTATCTGATCTCTGTGAATATGAATTTTACTTACCAGCTGCGTTTAAATTTGCGTTATCATGTAAAGTTCTCGAATCTTCGCTGACCGATTATGGCCAGCGAGTATTTGAAAGTATTCTGAGGTTGTAGGTAAATTCATGTTTATATATTTGTGCCTTGCTACGTAGTTATTATAATGAAACTTTACTAACCACATAGCTAATGTTTACAAATTGTCCGATTGTGTCCATTGCAGGGTTGAGTGCAGTAGCGTTGATGCCCATTATTAAAGCCATTGTCCATTGGTTAAAAAGAATTACAAATACACAATACCGAGAATTTTGCTCTTTTTTGTTTCCATTTTCGGCTGTATTTTCCATTCTATATATAGGAGTATACTGATTTTTGAAACTATGTTTAAGTCTGAAGAAAAATTGGAGCTCCAGAAGTGTGCACAACCTGACCATAGTATGTGTATCGCACATATTTCGGGAGCGCCGACAAATTTGCAAATGTGATCTCGAGGAGCAGTATCAGAAGGATGTAAGGTATATGTGCACATGTTTGTTTCAATACCGAAGGCTTCTACCATCTTGCTGGGGTAAATTTAGCAGACACCCGGTGCATAAAAATGAGTTGATGCTTTTACTGAGCAAAACGACAATCTAACAACATCAGGTCGTGACATTCAAAAATAAGGCAATACTACTTTAGCTACCTATATATATCAAACTACAAGTGTTTAATGGGATTGTATGTGATTTACATTAATGCTGTTGCTTTTACAACGAAAACTGGTCAGTGGAGTGAAATAAGTTGTTCATTTATACGTAATGATAATAATTCTGAACAACAATAAAAAGACAACCCTTTGGTGATTCTCTTGCCGGGCCAGATCCAGAAATTGAAACTACTACCAGATAACTGCATATTATTTATTTTTTTAAGGTGCAGGGTTTAGAATTGTTGTTCGATTTTTTTATAATGCATTCATATGTTTTATTGATCTGATCAGCTCACCATAGGACTCTTCAAGATTTCTACACTTCGAATGAACGTGAATAGCCGAACCTTTGGTCGCTGTTGGCGACGCGACACTACCATTTCTAACCCAATCCTGAAAATTTTGATCTCCATGGCGGTAAATACCTTCCCCTACCTGGTGAAAATAATGATGAAAACTCAAAACAAATTTGTAATAGGACTGCTGCCAAAGTAAAATCTTCACTAACAAATTTTTTCAACTGTAAAATAAAAACATTTCTCATTCGAGCCCGTTTTTGCACGGAAGCATGAATCATTGCAATCATTGCTTTCGATCAGTAATATTGCCTCTGGGGCTTGATGAAAATCATGAGCAAAATAATAATAAAAACATGGAAATGGGGGGTGCTATAATGCAAGATAATCGTCAAATATAATATAATGATATAAAAACTTGACAATAATGTAATAAAAATAAACTTCTTGCTTCAAACCTTGCGACTGAAACTAGTGACAGAAATGGTAGGATTTGATTCTAGCCTGTAACAAATGACACTATTTGTTTTTTGCCTTCTAATTATTGCAAAGGCAATACATAAGCTGCTGGCATATGTGCTGGAAGAGGACCCATCCTTGTTAGCGAGAATCAAGACATGTTTATAGTTTGATGACGTATTGCTTCGTTACGCAGACAATGCAAACGTATCGACGTGGCATTATTGCGACGCAGAAGTGTTTTGAGGAGTTTTTCGATTATTCATGCAATTCTAAATCATTAGCGCTACTTCGCTGTGTTTAGGACTCATTTTAACAAAAAACAGTTTGCCAATCGTTTCTGATTTTGATGTTCAAGATTCGATTTCAAGTATTGTCTGCTGGTTGTTGCAGGATTACGTCTATGTACTACTAAACCAGTGGTTCCCAAGCGCGGGAAATTTCATTATGGTGTTTTTCTACCGTCTCAATCGCTTTACCGAAGCCGAAAAGACGAGGGCTACGTTGGTTTATTACGCAATTTCTCTCCTGCCGTCATATTGCTGATTGATATGAGCGGTATGGCCCGGTGAAGTCTTGGCGTCGAGTAATCACACCTTCCGCTTTTTCGGTTCCGATTTATCGCGAAAGCGCTCCGTCAAATCTCGCAAGAGTCAGAAACCTGCAAATCAGCGTGCGTGCTTTTCCCATTCTGCATGTTTTCTTGATTAATAAGTCGAAGTTACGTTGGTTTATTACTCAATTTCTCTTTCGCAGTCATATTGGTGTTTGATAAGTGCGGTAATAATGGCCCGGCGACGTCTTGGCTCCGAGTAATCACATTTTTTGGTTCCGATTTATCGCGAAAGTGCTCCGTCAAATCTTGCAAGATTCAGAAACCTGAAAATCAGCATGCGTGCTTTTTCCGTTCTGCATTCTTTTTTGATTAATATTACCATCCAAATAAAAGGTTATTAATATTTCTTTGTTCAGACCAGAAAACTGTCACGAACAGTATAATATTCCAGAGATTCACCATGACACCCAGCGAAATATGAACTTGTTGCGACCCTGCAGGTGGTCACGAGACGCGCAACAAAAGCGGGGGCCGCTGAGATATTTTCCGGGTGATGCACAGCAAGATTTTGAGCCTGGTGCCAAGTTAGCAACGGCTTTATCGTTGTAGTATAAATTCATTTGGTTTGGGGCGTCGATTGATATGACGAACCCGATGAAACCTCTACTTTACAGTCCAGGTTTATAAAAGAATCATTGTCACAATTCATTCTTGAGCTATCTTGATAACGAATACCCATCGCTAAGTAATCGAGCAATCAAACTGTTGTCCGAGTTTTCAACCAGTTACTTCTAGCTTTAATTGAAACGAAGCAAATAAATTGACTGCTAGCCACTGCAGAGCTACGTGTTGCAAAACTTTATTTTGATGCCTCGTTTGCAATCCTGTATTGGAAACGAAACAGTAGCAAAATTCTCACTGGAGTTAATAGTTTTTGTAAATATTTTTATGTGATATGTGTGCCTTTTTTACGCACAATAGGTGCCCAGCAGCCCTGCATATTACGTACGCAAATATATGTTATTATTTTATGTTCCACCCATTTCAATTTTCGGCCGGCACATTATTTAATAGTTTTTTCCTCATGTGAAATGTTTTTAAGTGTATACCACTTTTCTCTAAAAGCAAAGTGATTGCCCGACATTACGCAAATATATGTTTTTATTTCCTGTTCCACTCATTTCAATTTTTGCCGGTCTAAGTACATTTTATTTATTTTTACCGGCCCGCCAGGGTAGAAAGGTTGGGAACCACTGTACTATGCTAAGTAAATCGAAAGGTAGTACAGGAAATGGATGTGGGAATACCGTAGAATACCCCTGTCGATTCTTGTTGGCTATTAGTACAACTGTAAGTAAGTACATTGAAAAAAATCGATAGTGAGTAAGATAAGCAAAAGAAAAGGCTACATACTACTATTAAATAAACATAGCAATCATTCTAAAATCAGAATTGGAGGTTTTAAGTAGAAAAATGGGTATTCCAGAAGTATGAGCACCAAGATGGCGGACACCGAAACGTCGTATGTGTAGTTTGTGTAGCAGGTTAGGGTTAGGCCATAATTTTAGCTACAGATACTCCGGTAGTCAGTTGGTTAGTCACCGTAATGAAACTAAAATAAGGTTCAGCAAAATAATAAACTGCAGCAAGTGGTGTCTATCTTTGTTGTTAGGTAGCAATAGAGGTGACACTATGTAACAGAAAGTATTCGTCGACCAATCAACGGTCGACGCCACTCGGACCTAGGTGTCGCTATAACTGTTAATGAAGAATTCCACCGATTTCATGTTGAGTTATATTGGGCACTTTGAAGGCACAGACTATCTGGGGAAATTTTAACCGCTGTTTCCAATCTTGAACTACTTGAAAGCTCGGTATGATTCCAAGAATAAATTATTTAAGTTTGGGGACACCGTCGTGAGACAGGTTAGTTTTACCCTACTGATGTAGTGTTGTTGCGATAGTAATTCTGCTCAGTACGAGAGGAACCGCAGATTCAGACATTTGGTTCATGTGCTTGGCTGATAAGCCAATGGTGCGAAGCTACTGTCTATCTTTGTTGTTAGGTAGCAATAGAGGTGACACTATGTAACAGAAAGTATTCGTCGACCAATCAACGGTCGACGCCACTCGGACCTAGGTGTCGCTATAACTGTTAATGAAGAATTCCACCGATTTCATGTTGAGTTATATTGGGCACTTTGAAGGCACAGACTATCTGGGGAAATTTTAACCGCTGTTTCCAATCTTGAACTACTTGAAAGCTCGGTATGATTCCAAGAATAAATTATTTAAGTTTGGGGACACGAATTGGTGATTAGGGGGCATTATCGAAGCTCTCCAGCCCCTTACTGTGCGCTTGAAGTAGACCAGGCTAAACAGTTTCAAGTGCAACAATACTCCAAACTATTTGCGCTTAGTTACGTGACATCACATCTATATGGTCCGTAATGTATAATGCGGAAATGATACCCAATTCGCATCGGATTGAAACAAACAAACAGACAAATACCTATCAACACACTTACCGATCGAAATCGATAATTAATTACCATCGTCAATAATTTGGCAGCCGAACATATAAGACTAAAGTTATATTTATTTATTAACAACTCGAATATTTCTGTTATTGGGTGATTCAAATGCTTTAATGAGGATAGACTAATGGTTCGAAACATCAACATTTCTTGAAGAAGTTTGATTAAAATTTGGCCAGTTTTGAAGAACGTATTTTCAGAAACGTATGTTATCTGTTCCACAAAAAGTTGAAGTATATCAAGTGCCTGAAAAACAAATTACCAATTAAAATTACGAAAAAATCATTTGAATGATACATTCCATTCTATTGTACTATCAGAGTTTAATTCTGTAATACTACGATACGGTAAGAATTTAATTAGTATGCTGGCCAACGAATTACATTGCAATCCACGAATTTACACAAAACGTTTTCTAAGTAATTAGTATAGTAAAAGAAAAACAATTCTTATGGTATTCCGATTTCTTAGTATCCTAGTAGCAACTTGAAGAATAAAAACGATTTGAGTCCAACAACGAAGACAGCTTTTGTGGCTACGTTTCATTTAAATAGCTATTCAAATGTCATATGATTGATTGGCGTTTTACGTTTAAAATTGGACGCAGTTGATAACAGTTAATGTTGAATAATTGCGTTTTGTCTTTGGGGACTGTCTCATGTCCATCGAGCTTGCGGTTTATTCACCGTCAATATTCGTACCGTTAATTATTATTAGTCAGTGCTGGCAGCTGCATCTATATAGTCTACAGCTAATTGCATTAGGTCAAAGATACACAGAGAGACCTTTTGATGGCCCGTTGATTTTAAAATTGAAAAAGGGTTATTTCTAAAAAAGTTAATATAATTTTCTTATAATTTTGGAATGTATTCAGGTATTGTAATTTAGCCGTAGGTGTAAATACTGCTCAATTTGAATGTGCATCAGCTAAACATGTCGATGGTATAGTTAAGCAAAGGTTCGCTGAAATATACTTATCAGTTCAAGTTCTGTAAGTACACAGTATATAACTCAACCAGGGGCGTAACCAAAAATTTTCTTAGTTCTGAAATTTATATTTGCCAAGTTAGATCGGAACAGCTAGCGGGTCCGGCCAAACGTCGGTAAACACGTGTTTTCATGATTCTTGAAGGTCTAAAAAGCGTTTCAAGCTACAAAATATTGCTATGTATTATACAAAAAGATGCTTTTATTTATTTTTTTACATTTAAAAAAACCCCCAGATCTCAACTATTACGGTTGCCAACCGTCCTTTATTCCAAATTATGGACTTTTAATTGAACTCTTCTGTCCTTTGATAAAGTTAGAGAGGATGTTAATTGCGTTTTATTTCTATCATCGTTTCTACTATAAGAGCTGCAAAACATTTTAAAGTAAATAAAACATTAAATTATTACTCTACAGTGCCCACTAAACAATCGCGACAATCAGTAGTTCGTTACATCAAGTGATGTCTTAACAAGATTCGTTTGCTACTGACGGCAGGTCCGGGTGGACCACCCAAAATTTGTACAGTTAATACAAGTACAGTTGAGATCCCAGCGACAAACAAGATAGCGATGCTCACGAAGGCCGAATTTCAACCAAAGAAGGGGTGAACTGCTGTAGTAGTCCCAGTAGAGCGATATGCAACTATTGGCAGCAATGTCGTTACTATGTTCATGAGATAACAATAAAATGTACCTGTTCATATCTTGCAACTTGCTTGTTACAGCGATCTCCTTCAAAAGTACATACACCAGAGTGGGCAGAAGAGAATTTTTGGAAGTCTAAGTGACTTTGTAATTCCATTTTTTCGCGCATACAATGACATTTGAAAAAGAAGACATATGTCACTTTTAAGCCTTCAAAAATGAACGTATTTGTACAAAAATTAATATTCTTATTAAAAATTAAAAAAAATATCAGTTTTATAAATTTTAAAACGGGTTTTATTCTGAAACAAACCATTACAATTTAAAAATGACTGAAACTGAATAATAGTATTTCAACAGTTGAATGTCGAGCCTGAGGCGTTTGCCTACGTTGTCTATAATGGTAAATCTGGCACTTTGTATAATATATCTCAAATTCCATCGCATCTCCGACGATCAAACATTTTTATTATGCCTAATAAGGACAAATTCAAAGTATACATGTCATACATTTTCGAATGCCCGAAGCAGAATGCTTATGTAAAAACAAAAATGGATATATTAACTTTTACGAGATTGTTCTATTGGAAGATAGAAATGTCGATTTCATGCATCAACAAGTAGTAGGAAAAGAGAATTAAAGTCTGACCTCGGTCAGACGAAACGTCACAGAAATATACATTTGTTTTAGTGTGAAGCAAGACTCTTGAATTGAATAGTAATTTTCACTCTAATATGCATACGGATCTACCAGCGCAAAGGCATAAGGGGCAAGGAAAAGTAGTTAGTTTCACGTAACCCCAACTGTTAGTGACTTTCTTTTGTGTTGTTTTCAATATTTACAATTTTTTGCGCACGAAACACATTTCATTATTAATATATTGTTGTTATTTGCACAAACCGCCCCAATTCCTGTATATGTTCTGCAAGGACAGTAATGGGCGGATCCGGTAGAAATTGACTTCCCGAAGTCACTTACCACGGCCATTGCCAGCGGGTCGAATATAACCGACTAGACAGAAATATTAACGAATCTAAGGCCACACGAATCTCGCTAAATCTATGCCACAGAACGAGTAGTACAGTTTCAAAGTTATTGAAGATAATTCGTTATATTTCCCTTACGTAGTTTTTGAAATATAACATGAATAGACAAATTTTTTAAGCAGTCGGTGATTTATTTAAATTTCATCTACTTTCAGTGTATAGCCTATTTCCTCTATAAAGTTAAAGAGTTGTAATATTGAGAGGCAATGTCGAATGATATATCCCTGAAAAATGAAGAAACTGGGGACATGTTGCCTCGGCAGGAGAAACGAGTACTTCCTCGCCAAACATGGTCAAAAGTCTTTGATTTTGCGTTAAATCTTTTCGGGATGTCCATTGGTCCTGGAAATGTTTGGAGATTCCCTTATTTATGCTACAAGAATGGTGGAGGTTGGTAATATTATAATTGCTTTCGGTGTATTTCAAAAATACCGCCAATTTTGCCAGTCTCATGCTGTTTAAATTTACTAGGCTCTTTTCAGATGACAGGGTACGGCGCACCGTGCTAAAAGCCATAGAAATACGTTTGTCTTCATCACAGGTAGGTTATCAACTTTGAATCCTGATGACTATGAGCAAAATAAACTGTTGATTTCCTAGTCTTTGCTGTGCTGTTCACGTGACTATAACCTGACGGCCTTAGGATGTCATGATATGGGTAAATAATATATATTGTGCTCAATGCGTCTCCTATCCGTACACGTGCTGCAGATAATGGCGCTTTCGTGACACCAACGATTGACCAAGCTGTGATGCGAACAATTAATAATTTTACAAGTTGGATGCTATAGTTCAGGGGTGGGCAACCTTCTTTGGCTCGAGTGCCAAAATCTGCTAAATTTAACAACAAAATTCTTCCGCGTGCCGACCAAAATTAAAAACAATGTTTCAAAGCAAAATAACACAATAATTAACCTTTTAAACATGTACAGACAGATTCACTATTCGAGGAAATATCAGTACGGCATGTACACTTGATTGCTTTTCTTATTCTATATCAGTGAAACTTCTGCAGCTGCATTACCGCTGATAGAGATTTTACATTGAGTTTTAAATATTGTAACTTTCAGAGAAATACACGAACTACTGGTTGCATCTTCCAGGCTACTCCCGTTACGAGACTTGATAAAGTTTATAACTGAGAACAGAGGCTCACACGCATAATATGTCGATGAAAACATGGAGAGTAATGCATTGCAAAGTTTTTTAGGCACGAAAAATTTTCGGGGATGGCATCCCAATCACGCCTATTTCGCTAATCGCCTATATTTCTTATGAAATCAATTTATAACAGTAAGTTAGCAGGTAATTATAACCAACATGAGCTGTACAACTTCATGAATCGAGCAGAAATGACGAAAAAAGGTGGCACAGACGAACTATATTACGTAAGAATGTAGCCAAATGAATACTGCGCTCTTCTCGACAAAATTTCGCGAGAGCTCATTTGTTACGTCATAATATATTACCTTGTAGCCATATGTCATGAAATGATAAAAAGGGTTTGAATAAATAACGGATTGTTAACAAACTATAATGAATAAACGAACACCTAGTTTCATCAGATAATTCAGAGACTTAAACTTTTTATCTGAAGGAGAATGATCGCGTTTCAGAAGCCTCGCTCGCGTGCCCACCCCTGCTATAGTTGATCTGTAATAACGAAGCAGTAATATGAGTTCTGTGTTTGTGCCATTTCAGGTGTATTTCTAATCGCATACTTCACACTTCTCGTTCTTGTTGTAATACCAATGATCATTCTGGAAGTTTCGATTGGACAATATACAGCAGTCAGCGTAGTCAAAGCATGGAAACTGCTACCTGTAATGCGAGGTAGGTTAAGCCAATATTACTAAATTTTGTTGCCTATATATCTCTATTAGTTTTCGTATTTATTCTGACTATCCCGAGCTTCGAAACGTAGAAAAGAGATTCCAAAAGCGAACATACTAGAATTGCATTTGTTTTATCGCTATATTTACCAATACTCACGTAATCCCATTGAGCGCAATTCCCGTTATTTTCGTTTTAAATATCTAGTTTTATGTGATGTTTATTTTCATGCTTAATATCGACAACCAAAAATCATGATTTTTTGTGGGGTAATTTTTTCAGGTATTGGATACTCAGGTCCTGTGATTATGTTCTTCTGTAATGTATATTATCCCGTTCTTCTGGCGTGGGCCTTGCGATGGTTTGTTGCAGGATTTTCGACCGATATGCCTTGGCTGAAATGTAATAATACATGGAATACAGAAAATTGTATACCACTTGCGGCTGACAACCTTAAGGTAGTAAGTAACTGTTGATCATTACTGAAGCTGATTTAAAAAACCATTTAGTCTAGCTTTGTGTTCTTCAATTTATTCGGGGGATCACACCTCTGGATGAATGCAACCATACCATATATTTGCTAATAACTGGAATTTGGAAACAATTTCTGAAGCTTAAAGCTGTAATATAACGTCATGGTATCGGAAAACGTAGTGGGAGGCTCAATACAACCGTGTAATTCTGATTTTCATAATATAAGTACAAAATAAAAACGCATTATCACGTCACAAAATAAATATAGCTTGTCAGCTTTTCGCATCTTTTTAAGTCAACTGTTCGACATGCACTTTCCTTCCCTAGGATATGTATGAAAATTTCATCCAATTGTGATCGGCACCAGTTTCCCCGATCCCCAACCGTGCAAAATGATGTTTATTTCATTGGTGATGTTGATAACTGGGAATTAACAAAAGGACATCAGACGAAAAAAATTGACTAACATCAAACTTTTAAAAGCACAAATAAAAACCGACAAATAGCACGCCAACTACGAAAACAAGCCGTGTTCACAAACGATTTTAAAATCTGTCTGCATTCAATTTTTTTTAGGCGACAGCACAAGTCGCTTCAACTTATTGCTGATTGTCCATTTGCTACAAAAATAGCCAAGCAGGTCGATATTCAAAAAACATGCATGTTCTAGTTACCTTAGTACAACTTGTTTTTCGGCCTACTTGAAATGTATTTCGCACAGTTTAAAATATTTTGTGAAATCAATATATTTCATTTATTTGATAGGAGAATTTTTCTTCTGTCGTTACAAACAGTGCATTTCTTAACAATAATAATAGCCAAACAATCAATTCTAGTTTGTTGGATTCTTCGTCTGTGGAAGAATTTTGGAGGTACGTGAATGATTTTTGAAAGTTGAAATTTGTTTTCTGCAATTTTTGTTCTACATAACATTTACATAACATATAATCTTTGTAGGGAAAAAATTCTGGATATATCATCGAGTATCGAGGATAGTGGCGGTGTGAAATGGGACATATTTGCTTGTCTTCTCGTGATTTGGATTTTAATTTATTTTGCGGTGTGGAAGGGAATTGGATGGACCAGTAAGGTAAAATATTTTAAAGGATATTCGAGTTTTTTGGGGTTAGGCTTTATTAAATATTTGATCAACTATCGTTGCAACAATTTTATCAGGTTGTTTACGTTACTGCCACGCTACCCCTCGGAATGATGATTGTTGTTTTAGTGAGGGGAGTGACGCTCAACGGTGCTATGAAAGGAATATCTGTCTATCTGCAGCCAAATATCACTAAGCTTATGGAAGTAGAAGTAAGACAGTATGAACAACGCATAGTAGTTGTGTTACTCGCCATTTGCTTGTTACGATTCGTTTTTAACGTATTAATAATGGTATCAAAGGTTTCCTTTCTTACTTCAACGTAAATGTTCAAAGTTGAATACATTGGTAGTTTTATGATTTATAACAGCGGTGAGATGGGTATCTCTTCAGTCGTGAAGATGAACACCAATGTTGTGTTGTAAACTGAAGTTTTGCTCACAAATGTGTCGTCGAAGCTAGGCATTGATAACGACATCTCAGCAGAAACTGTCGTAACCATTTGTGTTGCTTTTCTCTTTACTTAGGTCTGGACGGATGCCGCTTCTCAGCTGATGTTCTCGTTCCGAGTTGGTTGTGGTGGACTAACAACATTGAGTTCTCACAACGAGTTTCATCATAATTTAATACGGTAAGACGAGAAGTTACCGGTAAGCAATGGTTGTGTTGAGCGACATCATTATGAGAACAATTAAAACCTACAGCATGGAGGCTCATGAGCAAGAGTGAGTACGGTTTTCGAACCCGGGGCCAAAAATTTTGCCCAATTAGTCTGGCGGGCCATGTAAGCGTGAAGTGAAAAGTGTTATTTTATAAACAAAATTTACAGTGTTACAGAGAAAGGGTGGAAAACAATATGCCTCGTGCGAAAACTAAATTTAACCACAATTTCAACAAATTCCTTGAGCTATTTTAGGTGAAACATCAAAATTTGGCAAAAGGTTTGGTTTCGATTTGGTTGTGGCAGCATCAGGAGGGCAAGATTGAATTACCCAACCGGCAGGATTTGGCCCGCGGGTCGTACTTTGCCCATGTCTACTCATGAGTCATCAATACTTTTTTACAGCAAAGCCCTGCCAGTGTAAATATTTGTACGTATTACTATATCTTTGCGACTGAATAAAAAACAACACAGTGTTTCATGCATAACCGATTTATTTTGCGCGACCACCAATGTGGTGTCATAAAATAAGAAAGGATAAGCCAATGACTAGGGCTGGGAATAGTTAACCAATTTTAGATGATTATCGATTACGATTTATTTTGGTCGTAATCTGACATCCCAGGTACAAATCACCTTTTGCTGTACAATTTCTTCGGAAAATGATTAGTTCAGCACGAATTTATTTCCTGTGGCGTTTATTTCAAAAGGATATCACCAACTGTATATATTAGTATACACAAAAAAAAATAAAAAATTGGAGTACGACGAACGCTTTGATTAGTAATATTTCCGAATGTGTTAAATAGTCTATCGGATGGTACAATTGTATCAAATCGTACAGAACTGATAGAGCTAGTAAGTAAGTAGCTTCTGATCGCAGTCGATGCTGTTTTTCTTCATGAAATCCCACAGTAGAAGTTGCACATCGAATACTGAAAGTTTTGTCACATAAAAGACATTTAATAATGGAACCGATTTTACTAAAATACTTTCACGTGTACTAGGTGCGCTGCATATCTTATGCAGTAGAAGTAGAGCAACCATGTCACTATCTCGATCTACGAATAATTTCGAGCGATACCAGGATAAGATCACGCGAAGTTGGTTTGGAACTATTGAGACGTAACAAGCTTAAATTATAACTTATTACACCAAACGCCACGATGCGGTTAACCGGTTAGTTTTACTTGGTGAACGGTTAAAGTGTTTTCCCCGCAATTACCAACACTACCCATAACATGAAGCAGTTCAGTCCAACGCAGCCCTGAAAAGAATAGTGAGAAAAAGAGTTCTGCAGTGGAGAAAAAGAATTTGCGAGGATTTATTTACTATGTTTTCGAGGAAGTACCCAAGTAGCAATTTGCTAATTTGTTGTTGTAGTGAGAAAATCACTTCACGTGACATTCGGTGCTCCTTTCATATGACATTCGGCATTATTCTTTTACCATTTGGTTGGAATTTCGCATTGCATTAGTTATTTTACTTTCGTGTTCACATGAGCATTGCTCTCTCGTTTTATTTAGAGATGCTCTAATATTCTGTGCTGCTAACGCCGGAACAAGTTTTGTATCTGGATTCGCCATATTTTCAGTTCTTGGTTTTCTGGCTGACGTGAAGGTAATTACTATGATAAATAAAGCTTGTCAAGAAAACAAAATTCGACTCCATTTTACTCAAAAGAAACTTTTTTTCACTTTAAAAATGGACTATAAGAATGATAACTAATATTTATAAAGAGTGTAGCAGATAAAAATGTACAGAGCAGAAGTTATTTCTTTATTCTAACCGTAACAATTTTAATCAACAGAATACGACAGTGGATAAAGTGGCTGAATCCGGTCCTGGTCTTGTTTTTGTTGCCTATCCGACGGCATTGTCATTTTTACCGTGGCCAAATTTTTGGACTGTAACTTTTTTTTTGATGGTTGTATTACTAGGATTTGATAGTCAGGTAAAACATTGATTTTCTTCGCTTGAAATATAACTAAATTCTCTATTTTCTTTGCGATGCTATTTAGACGTGTATGTAATATGATATTTTGACCAATATAAGTAAATTATTTTCATCCTCGAAACTAGTTATGACGTAACAAAAACAATATTTATGAGAATAAATCAAAAACTCACTGTTATGATACATTATATTACTTTCAGACTAAACAAGATTAGGTATTACATTGATAACGATTAATAGTCTCCAAACTTGGAATTGTTGAATATCAGTAACTACTATTATTGTATATTCAGTTTGTACTTCAAGAAGCGTTTCTGGAATGCACAAAAGACCTTTGGCCACACTTGTACAAGCATAAATGGAGTTCAGAGATAGCCCACGCCATCATCGCATTCATAATGTTTGTATTAGGAATATCCATGGTTACTCGGGTAAGAGCTGACTGTAATGGGATACTAATGGAAAATATAACATGAGGTCGTGGGAACAAAAATTAATAATATTATCTATATTATCTTCTTTAATTAATTGATTATTCGTTCAAATTTACTGACTGGACAATTTGTTTTCTTGTCTGTTTGTTGCCAAAAATATTTTGAGAACAATAACGCTTTTATCAGATATTTCAAAATATGATTGGATTAATGGGCATGAGATTTTAGCTTAAGAATTGCATCCTGCAAAGCTAGGTGGCCATGAATATATATAATGTTCATTATAATTCTCGGAATTATAGCAAACGTGCAGCCTTATTTTGGGGGGCATTATTGTGTGTTGATAAAAAAATAAGCGTAATGAACTATTTTTTAGGGGGGAATGTACGTTCTTCATATCTTCAATATTTTCTCTGCAGCGGGATGGTGTATATATTTCATTGTTGCCTGCGAAACAATATCAATAGCGTGGATTTACGGGCACAGAAAATGGCTCAAAAACATGACTAGAATGTTGGGTTCTGTTCCCCGAATCGCATTGATAATATCCTGGAAGTTTAATATACCTCTTATTGCTATGGTAAGCGTTGCATAGTTGTCTTGTTAAAAAAAGTATAGAGCTTATAAGCCGGACAAGGACTCATCTAGTCCCACTCAAGTCACATTTTTATAGACTCAACATTAATATAGTCAAATAATCGGCTTCACCGAGACACTTTAAGGTGATAAGATTCCAATGCCTGACGCCAACTAACTACGAGCGACTCCAACGCTCACTTGGCGAGTTACCCTTGTATTGTGTTGTTCGGGCATGATTTTCTCCAAGGTTAGTAATATGAAACTGACTAACTGGTATTCGGATTTGACACCTTAAAAATTGGGTTAGCTTGAATTTGATCTGAATACATGCTACAAATGAACTTATATTCACCGATGATATCAGAATTATTATATATATGAGCAGAAAATTTTGGTTTATTATTAGGGCTGGGAATGGTTAATCGATTTTAGATGGTCAACCGTTACGATTTATTTTAACCGTTAACTGATATCTCAGGTACAAATCATCTTTATAATGTTCAATTTCTTCAAAATTGATTCGCAAATTTATCTCCTGTGGCACTTAATTTAAAAGAAGATCAGTAACTGTATTGGGAAGGACAATAAATGTAAAAACTAATTGAAGTACCAAGATTGCTGATCATGAAAATTCGACAATGATAAATTCAGAATCAGTTTTCGGTCAAAATATATTGTTCGCGATTTTATTGCAAAATCGTATATTCAATGTCATCCAACAAGTGCGCAATTGAGGCTGTTTTCCTTTAGGATATCTCAAAGTAGAATTTGCACATCGAGCACTGAAATTTTTTCACATAAATGACATTTAATAACGGAATCGGGTTTTACTATTTACCGAAGTACGATGCATATCTCTTGCAACAGAGCGATCACGAAACTATGTCGATTCGTGAATAATTTGAGCGATACCGGGATAAGATCATGCGAAATTGCTCTGTAACCATTGTGACGTAACATGCTAAAATTAAAAATTTTAATAATAAATTGGTTGGGCCTGCAGCAGATAAAATGAGCTCAAAAATTACAGTGCACGATGACAACGTTAATATTTGATTGTTTGAAATTTTGTTTTGTGCAGGCATTGATGTTTTATTCGCTTTACTCGTACAAGCCACTAACTTACGATAAGACGTACCTTTTCCCTTTGTGGTCAAATGTATTCGGATGGCTAACAGCACTGAGTTCAATGTTATGGATACCTGGAACCGCGATATATGTTATATGGAAAACACCAGGTTCCAGTTTCAAGAAGGTGCCTAATTTATACTATTTTTTCAAAAATGAAACGGGATAAAAAAAATTGTCAAGCTTTAACACATTCTGGAAGTTTGGTCAAATTATAGGTCATTTAGATACATAAAAAATAAAATTTTGTACTACAGTGGCGTCGAAGATGTATGTTTGTCTCCTTTGGGGGTAACAGTAAGAGGGGAGATGCTCAAAACCAGACATTCAAGCTTGGGATGCCATAGAGATACAAAATTGTTTATCAATTATGCTTCCTGTTTTATATTTATAGACTAAAAAACGCTTGAGTTTATAGCGATGTTATTTATGTAATAAATCATTAAAGTAGAACATGAAGTTCATCAGATCAGCCATGCTACGTTAAAAAATGCCGCTTTCGTTATCTATACTTGGTATTCAAAAGATCTGCTAATATTCTGCTATTTCAGAAACTAAGAAATTCAACAAAATCTAAACTGGAAGAAGATATGATTAGTGTGAGAAAGTCGGTAGATGTGGAAGACACTGAAAAACAACCTAATACTTCAATTTGAATTACTGCATTGTAATGTAAGGAACTGGCATCGTTCAGACGGCGATGGCTTCAATTCTTTCCCCACCAACAATAATTATTACATGTTTACTGTGTATATTTTACACCATCGCTTATATAAAAAGATATTAGAAAATCAGTTTTGTATACGTAGAGACCTATTGTACCATGGAAAACCAAATATCTTCTGATATCGTATGATCTTTTCAATTCGTTACATCTTATTATCTTTCATGATATGTCCTTAAACGTATCACCGAACAACGCTGTCAGACAATAGCGACTAATATTTAGTAAGCCGTAATCTTTATGTTTGATTGAATCCCATCATATTTATTGCATCCCGCAAAGATGAGAAAACGTGATGTGATTTGAATCCGAGATCATCAGGCTTGTCCATGAGTATGGGATTCCCATGGGAAACGTCCCATGGGATGTGATCGAACAGCACACATTTGTTTTTCCCGTGGGACAAGAGGATGCTTGGGAAACGTAAGGCAAATTGGACAATTTTATATAGGATTACGTTTTGTGTGTCAATGAAATTAACACTATGTCCTCAGCGGTGCGGTTGAAACATGCTAGTGAGGTAACGTGGTTTCACGATATTGCGTATACCACGTATAACGTACGTGATAGTTATTAAAAAATTACATTATAGAGCGCGATCAGAATTCTAGCATTGTCGGGAAACTGGTGGGCTGATTCGGACGAATTTTGTCTGGGATGGTATACACAGGATCCAGTAAATTTTTCCATTGCGATCGCGCTGGAAAAGGGGGGGATATCTGCTCTTGTTATAATTCGGTTTACATCAGATTTGCATGTAACATTAAAGTTAGGGAAATGATTCAGCAATTACCCGGATAAACTGAACTTTTATAAACAGTCGATGAGTGGGAAATTGATAATTTGCTGAATGATCACAGTGACTCCAAAACAGAAAACGAGTGTCAGAATGATACTGGACTGCCATAGTTGGGCAAAAAATTTTGTCGTTTTGCATGTCTCTTTGAGCATAATTATATATAGTTCTATTTGTATACATTTAGACCCAGCGCCGGATTAACCATTAAACAATATAAGCACGTGCTTAGGGCACCAATCAAAAGAGGGGCACCACAGTAATTTTAGAGCAGAATTTTATATAGTTTATCGGTGTTTAATAAAATATTACGAGTTCACCAGACGACTCCAACTTCAAAATGTTTGCTTATTTTTTGTTTTCAAGTTTTATATTAACCTTCCTTATTAAAAATAAACACCGATACTTTTTCATTTGACACGAAATGGGCCTATGAGCCGTTTTCTTAAATTGTTGCTGTTTTTCTTTCTAGTATTCTCCTTTTTGCTGCATTTTTGTTTTAAAACAATTTCTTTCTCTTTCAACAATTGGACCAATGAACTATTTGCACTATGTGGAAGTTTCACGATTGCATTTCAACGATCTAGTGGTCAGCGAAGTCGGGAGTTTTTTGATAAGGTAGACCAGGCCCAAGGTGGTCTAAACCCTGTCATGCTGATACATTCCGTGCGGCCCACAGAACAATTTTAGCGTCTATTTGTATCTAATAGTAGAACGTTTTTGAGTTTTTTTTAGCTATTCCAACTGGGGTTGGGATCCCAAGATTCAAACCTTTTTTTCTAACGCTTTGTACCTTTATTTTAGTAACAAGAGAGCTATGCTCAAATATATGGACACGTAGAGTCACATAATTTTGATGACGTCATAGCGAACAAAAAAAAGTAATAGCCTTCTGGAGAAAATTTTTATCTTTAACCACTGGAAATTTCAAAGCAATTGGTCCAGTATTCGAAGAGAAAAGCGACTTTTTAAAAACGTGTCAAAGAACAAGAACAACAACAACAACATAATATTGAAACGATCGTTATGTCCACTACGTGTCCAAAAACACTCCTCTGTTTTCAAGCGTATAGGCCAAGTGACAGTAGTGACGAAACGCAGAACCGACTTAACGCCGCGCAATCCAGATTTTTTAGCTGGGTCCCGAAATACCAACTTAGACGGACTTGGTTGTTATTTGACGATGGCACTAAGCTTGCTCACGCTGCAAGTTTTTATATTACGCAAATATAACAATTCGTAATAAAATGAGTTTCACAAGAAAGGTGACCCGAGGAAAACACAGGCGGAAACGTATTTCCTTGCCCATCACACAGTGTCTGGTTTGATTTCAAGTAATATCTGTCCCGAAAGAATATAATTTGAAGCGACATTAAACGCGAGATACGGAAAATACAATGGTAATTCTCGGGAAATAATTTTTAAATAACTGAGGGTTTTATATATCATTTTTAAAAGAACGCCATCCATGCAACATAATAATAGTCTGATTAGAACGGTGAACTCTTGTTGTTTATTAAATTGAAAGTAAGTGAACTCGCGATATTTCGATCACTTTTGGATTTTCTCCGACTTGCGGCCCGTGATACTAGGTGCCGGTAAAATTTCAAACTACAGTTGTGACTTGTATCCCTTGGTATTTCGATTCACGTTGAGACTGGAGTCACGAATCTTTATTGTCACACTCCCTCAGGATTAGAACTCAGCTGATATATCGTCCCGATATTGCGTGTTTGCCAATATATCATATCGGCAGTAAACGGCCGATATATATATCGGCTATATATCACAGTTAAAAAACCTAAAAATGTGCGTAAAAGTTGTTTTAATTACTGTTGGTTGTGATTATTTTTAATGGATAATACACCTATGTGGTTTATTGTTTTATAATTAAATTACACATAAGGGGACACCAACGTCTTGAGTGCTTATGGCACCGAAGGGGCATAATCCGCCCCTGCTATACCTAAATATTCATAAGTTAAATAATTTTTTTTTTCAATTGCATTCCAATGGATAGTGACCTGACAATAGACGTTTTAGCAGCTGCTCAGACACTTTTGTCACTCAGGCAGATTTCCAGGAATGGTTGTAAACATGACCTTATTTTCGCGTTTTTGCATGTTATTTGCTGGTTTTTAGTGTGTTTCGAAAATTTAAGTATCAATCGAATAACTCAATGATAACTTTGTCTCTTAGAAGATTTGGTTTAATTGCAGTATAATCAACAATTAGTCTTGAAATAGATGCGATAAACTATGTTAAACTTTCCCACCAGTCATTTTAAAGGGCAGGTTGTTAAATGTGTTTAATCAAAACAATGGTATGAAACATATAAACAACTTGCCAATTCGTGAAACCACCTAAAAAAGCACTTAAAATTTTGCAATGGTGTAGTAGAGGAATTTTCGAGACTCAAAGGTCAAGGACACATTCATGGGATGAGACAGGCATGAATTTATGTGGGATGGGTGAGAAAAATGTGTTCCATGGACAAGCCTAGAGATCTTCATTCTTCGAAATAACCCCAAATTGGGCCCATGGCTCTATTCACAGGCTGTCGCGACTGCGCTTTTCGAGTTACTGTCATATACGCTTATTTTTGGGTACTCCCATAGTATGTGTACCAGGTTAGGGTCAAGTCATAATTTTATTCCGATTTTCCTTATTGGACACGTTAGTGGACATAGCGATCGTTTTTTATTATTATGTTGTTGTTGTTCTTTGTCTCTTTGATGATTGGACCAATCGCTTTGAAATTCAGTGCTCAAAGCCTAAATTAATTACCGTACCTCGATATTGGGCTTGGGATAATCATATGCGCCGTTGTCTTTTACGAAAACCCTGGGCGCCATCCACCAATTTTGCGATGAATCTGACTTTAAAATTTTAGGATAATCCGTTGTCCAAGGGCAAGGTACAAACCTCTACCAGAGCAGTGGTTTCCAGTATTTTTATAAACGACCCAAATTTAAAAAAAAAAATGAATTTTTTAAAATCTCACGACCCAAGGATAACTATGCTCAAATACTAAACGGCATGTGGTACGTTTATGGCCACAAAATTGAATGACCAATATAACACCAAAAGAGAAAGCTGCGCTAGGTTGCCGTTAGCGAGGTTTCGAAATCATGGCGTGGCTTTGCCTGAGCAACACAAAATAAATGCTGCAACCTTTATACGATGTGATACTTCTCTCTTATATTATCACCTCAATACCAAATATAAAATAAACAATGAGATTTAGAAGAAAATAATATTAGTGAATTTCAGGTTTTTGTTGAAAAAACAAGCGACACCAAAAAAGATTTCAGGTGACCCAGTATTGGGTCGCGGTCCATAGGTTGGGAAACACTGCTCTAGAGCAGTGGTTCCCAAACTATTTTTTTCTTCACGACCCCAATTTTCATAAAATCAAAGCCCACAAATACTGGCGACCCCGCAACTAGAAACGTTCAGCAATCTCAAAAAATCAGTATATCAGTTCAATCGCCCCGTGAACAATGTACCTGTATATCGACTGTAAGTGGACATTGTCCCAAATAAAATATACAAACAAGTCTGGCAATACGCCGAAAAACGGAAAGCCGAAAATGTTCACTTTTATGTGGGGACGATGTGGACAAAACACGTAGCCTACTCGCAGATTCTAGACACGTGCACGTGCACGACAAAGTGCTTTCACAACTGATAGAAACCTAAAGTGTAATTACTCGGCCAAGAGACCACCTGGCAATCAATATCATACTTGTCAAACACCAAGTTGAAGGCCAATCGCAGAATAAAGCGCCTTTGCTTTGTATATTCGATAACTAACCGGCTGCACTAGCACAAAATAAAAAATCAACATAATTTCTCGCATCCACGCCAAAAATCCGATTTGCGTACCAGCGGTTCAACTACTGATGTAACATGATCCAAAAAACTATAAAAAGGGAAATATTATTAACGCTCGTAACACTGTCACTCAATTACATTGACTAATATCGATACATGCCGACCAGAAAGGTTGAGTACCACATGAAAGTTTTATTGATCAATTTTGGCGCCGTTTGGACAATAAATGGTCGAATTATTGCTGAATAATCCACAGTTAGGCACTTTTACGACCAAAACAAATTTAACTTTCTAACTTCCAAATTTTAGTCACATGTGTGCGCATGTTTGACAGAAATGAGGGGAAATCTGAGGTCGCGACTCACAGTTTGGGAACCCTTGCAATGTTCCGCGAGCGTCTTCCGAGTGTTCCGTGGAAAAGGAATCAAAAATACGTCTAAATTGGTCGCTATGGCGATCTAGGGATCGTGAAGTTGTCGCCCTCTAACTGACAGTTCAATTTCGCGTCCCCGTTTGCCTAAAGCGGATTAACTAAGATAGGGTAGTAGTATTTTCGTTAACCGTCGGCCTAGCTTTTTGACTGTTACGGCTCATTATCAAGTTTACAGCAATCTTTTTGGTTTTGCTATAGGCAAACAAGTAGGTCTAAAGAATATATGGCAAAAGATCAACTCCTCTTTCTCCATCTTGTCTGATTTTACTTTGAAATGCTGAAACAATTACTCATGTTCGCTAGGCTCAATTCAGCAGACAAATAAACTGTAGGTCTGCAGCTCGCGAAATTGAAGCAAGTGCTTCTATCTTCATTAGACGTAACATTAAAGACAAACACTTCGTAATGGAAAGTAAAATACATACAACGGTAAAATGAATTTCTTGATTCATATACACAGCATTTAGATAAAGAAACAATAAAACATTTATAATAAATGCGATATGTAGAAGATTCAACCACATTTTAGGTACGTTTAACACAATTCTGTTAGTTTTCGCGGCGCATTTGGCAACTCGCCACGGCGAATCCATTGGGAACCACTACATTACGCCGTTTTTCTGTATCAGTTTTACCCTTTCATTTTTTAGTGTTCCGCGAGGCGAGATAAAAAGTGTAAGTGTTCCGTGGCCGAAAAAGTTTGGGAAACGCTGCTCTAGAGCGTTATTTATCACGAGCCAGAGCCCCATCTCATATTTATATTCAACTACTATGTTTCAAACCATCCGTATATGCAAAGGACTTTCGCGCATTTTCCTGCGCTTTGGTCGCTTATTGGACCTGATTGCACAAAGTATAAAGTCGCATTTAGTGATTCTCATTCTATTCGTTCACTTTGCAAAGTATGTGTAACTAAATATACAATTACCGCTCTATTTTTTTTCAAGTAA